TTCCTAGGAATGGAATTCCTGGGTCACATGGTGTTTCTATTTTTAGTTTTTTGAGGAGCCTCCATATTGCTTCCCAGAATGGTTGAACTAATTTACATTCCAATGTGCAGTGTAGGAGGGTTCCCCTTTTTCCACATCCTCGCCAGCATATGCTGTTGTTTGTCTTTTGGATGTTGGCCATCCTGACTGGTGTGAGGTGATATCTCATTGTGGTTTTAATTTGCATTAATCTGATGATTAGTGATGTGGAGCACTTTCATGTGCCTGTTGGCCACCTGAATGTCTTCTTCGGAGAAGTGTCTGTTCATATATTCTGCCTATTTTTGAATCTGATTATTTGCTTTTTGTTGGCTAAGGCTCATGAGCTCTTTACATATTTTGGATGTGAACCCTTTATCAGATATGTCATTTATGAATATATTCTCCTATACTGTAGGATGCCTTTTGTTCTACTTATGGTGTCCTTTCCTGTACAGAAGCTTTTTAGCTTCATGGAGTCCCATTTTTTTACTTTTGCTATTGTTTCTCTTGCCCGGAGAGATATGCTCATGAAAACCTTGATCATATTCATATTCAAGAGAGTTTTGTCCATGTTTTCTTCTAAGAGTTTAATGGTTTCATGACTTACATTCAGGTCTTTGATCCATTTTGACTTTACTTTTGTGTATGGAGTTAGACAGTAATTCACTTTCATTCTCTTGCATGTAGTTGCCCAGTTTTACCAACACCAGCTATTAAAGGGGCTGTCATTTTCCCATTGTATATACATGGCTTCTTTATCATATATTAATTGACCATGTGTGCTTGGGTTAATGTCTGGACTCTGTATTCTGTTCAACTGGTCTATGGGTCTGTTATTGTGCCAGTACCGAAATGTCTTGATTACTGTGGCTTTGTAGTAGAGTTTGAAGTTGGGAAGCGTAACCCCTGCTGCTTTGTTTTTTCTTCTCAGGATTGCTTTGGCTATTCGGGATCCTTTGTGGTTCCATATAAATTTTAGAAGCATTTGTCTCAGTTTGTTGAAGAATGCTGTAGGTATTTTGCTGAGGATTGCATTGAATCTGTAGATTGCTTAAGGCAGGGTGGCCATTTTAACAATATTCTTCCTACCCAACAACATGGGATGAATTTCCATTTATTACTGTCCTCTTTAATTTCTCTGAAGAGTGTCTTTTAGTGTTCAGGGTATATCTTTCACTTCTTTGGTTAGGTTTATTCCTAGGTATTTTATTCTTTTTGATGCAATTGTGAATGGAATTATTTTCCTGATTGTTCTTTCTGCTAGTTCATTGTTAGTCTATAGGAATGCAACAGATTTATGTGTATTAATTTTGTATCTTGCAACTTTGCTGAATTCAGATATTAGTTGTAGTAGTTTTGGAGTAGACTCTTAGGGTTTTTTTATGTACAGTATCATGTCACCTGCAAACAGTGACTTCTTCCTTACCAAACGGGATTCCTTTTATTTCTTTGTGTTATCTGATTGCACTGGCTAGGACCTTCAGTACTATGTTGAATATAGACAGGGAGAGTGGGCATCCTTGTCTTGTTCCCAGTCTTCTCACTGTTAGGTATGATGTTGACTGTGGATTTGTCATATATGGCCTTTATTATATTGAGGTACTTGCCCTCTATACCCATTTTGTTGAGAGTTTTATCATGAATGGATGTTGAATTTTGTCAAATGGTTTTTCAGCATCTATGGAGATGATTATGTGGTTTTTGTGGGGTTTTTTTGATATAGTGAATGATGTTGATGGATTTTCGAATGTTGTACCATCCTTGCATTCCTGGGATGAATCCCACTCAATCATGATGCATGATCCTTGATGTTTTTTGAATTTTGTTTGGTAATATTTTTTTGAGTACTTTTTTTTTTGAGGGCATCTCATATTTATTGATCAAATGGTTGTTAACAACAATAAAATTCTGTATAGGGGGGTCAATGCTCAATGCACAATCATTAATCCATCTCAAGCCTAATTCTCATCAGTCTCCAATCTTCTGAAGCATAACGAACAAGTTCTTACATGGTGAACGAATTCTTACATAGTGAATAAGTTCTTACATGGTGAACAGTACAAGGGCAGTCATCACAGAAACTTTCGGTTTTGATCATGCAATATGACCTATAAACCATCAGGTCAAATATGAATATTCATTTGATTTTTGTACTTGATTTATATGTTGATCCCACATTTCTCCTATTATTATTATTATTTTTATTTTTAATAAAATGCTGAAGTGGTAGGTAGATGCAAGATAAAGGTAGAAAACATAGTTTAGTGCTGTAAGANGACTTTCCTTTTCAGCTCCTCTAATATCCAGAGCACCATGCAATGTGTATCTGTGCTCCTCGAGCAGATTACTAGGGCTAGTTATTTAGCAGTCCTGTGCTTCCACTCCCTCCCCACTCTGATTCTTTTCCTCCCGTTGGTGACCTCAGTTTGGGGGACTGCTCAGGTCCTGCTGGATCATGGCTTTTAACTTTACCCTTTTCTGTGAGAAGTTGACTTCTCACAGATGTAGACTGGCTGTTGTACTGTTACTTCTGGTCACTCTTTTAGGAATAGTTGTATTTGGTGTATTTTCAAAGTATATGTGGTTTTGGGAGGAGATTTCTGCCACAGTTCTTATGCTGCCATATTTTCCTCTGCCTGTGCATTTTATTTTACATAAATTATACCTCAATAAAGTCAACTAAGAAAATCCTACCAGGATGAGTGCAAATGTTTTTTAATGAATATATTTGAAAAATTTTTGGAGATGTGTGACAATTTGAAAACATTTCCTTTTTTCTAGCTTACTTTATTGTAAGGATATAGTAGTATATAATATATAATACAAGGGCCAACTCTAGTTGAGTCTTCTTTTTTAATCCACTCTGTCAATCTAGTCATTTGAATTGGTGTATTTAGATCATTTACATTTAATGTAGTCATTGATATGTTAGGACTTAAGTCTCATTTTCTTCCTTTTCTTTTTTTTCCCATTTTTTTGTCATTTTTTTACTCCTGCTTTATTATGGATTATTTGAATACATTCATTTTGATGTGTTGATATTTTGGAATATTTCCTGTAAAGTTTTTTTTAATGGTTGCTTTAGGTATTATTTTGTCTATTCATAATTTGTCAGTCTGTTGATGTCAACATACTAACACTTCAAGCTAAGTATAAAAACCTTACCTCACTTTACATCACTTTATCCTCTCCCATTTATAAGTGTCTTAAATATTTCCTCTAAACATATGTAGAACAATATTAGACAATTATAGTTCTTCAACCACCAAACATTGTTTTAAAAATTCAAGAGAGGCAAAGCCTATTGTATATACCCATGTTTTTGTTTACTGTGTTCTTCCTTCCTTCCAGATAATCCAAGTTTGTTTTTATCATTTGCTTTCAGTTTAGAAAACTTCCCATAGCCATTCTTTTAGAGTAGGTGTGATGTCAAATTCTCCTAGTTTCCCTCATCTGAAATGTTGATTTCCACCTCATTACTGGAAGTTGTTTTTGCTGAGTATAGGAATCTGGGTTAGCGGTTTTTTTACTTTAGCAGTTGTAAAAGATTAAAGTTTCCTTCTGGCTTACATGGTTTCTGAAGAGAAATCTGCCATCATTCAACATTTTTTACACTATCAAGTCAGGTGTCATCTTTCTTTTGCTGATTTCATGATTTTCTTCTTGGTGTTTAGTGTTCAGAAGTTAAACTATGATGTGTCTTCTGGATTCTTTTGGTTCACCCAGCTTCTGGATTCTATAGTTCATGTCTTTTGCCAAATCTAGGAACTGTTCAGCCATTATTTCCTTAAGTACTTTTTCAGCCCTGTTCTTTCTTCTCTCCTTCCTCACTGCACTTCCGCTGATACAAAAGGGGGCGGGTGTGTGGCTCCTCATTTCTGATGGGCAAGTGAGAATTCTGGCTTCCCTACATGATCTCTGACATCATAGGTAACAAGTTTCATTACCACACAGCATGGTTACAAGTCCAAGCTCCCTACTCACCCTTTGCTTAGTGTCAGAGACTGACACTCACCTAAATTGGCAAGTTAAGGCATGTTATACAGCCTATACAGCCCAATGAGGATGAAAGCCTAGGCTCTCCACTCAGCCTTTCTATTGTGGGTGGGGCAGTTTTTTTCTGTAGAGGTTACCTAGAGTAGAGACATTATTTTCTGAAAATTTTCTGTCCTGATAGCCTGCTCCTCTCTTCATCTTTTGGCTAGAGAGAACTAGCTTTTGTTGGCTAGTTTTTCTCTGTGCCCATTGGTAGTTCTAAATTGCCAGTTTCTTTAGATCCAACTTTAGGATATATGAGGCAAAATGAAAACCCAGGAAACTTAGTATGACCTCTTTCCATCTTTTCCAGTCATCTTAATTTTAACATATAGTATTCATATTTTTCATATGTACTTAGTGGGAAGTATATCTATTCCATATCTCATAAGCAGAACCCATCTTTTAATCTCATCTTTATCTGTTGCTATGTCTCTTTTTTCAGTCCTAATATTAGAACATGAAGTAGGTTGCTATAGGAAATCATGATAATTTTGGTGCTGTAAGTTTTGAAGTACACTTTAAGTAACCATCTGATGGTAATGTAATTCCTGGATTTCGCAGGAATCAAGAGACATTGGTAAGGGACTTTCTAAGCCTAATAATCTATGATTTTCATAGGAATTGTTCCTTGACTAATCATTCTTCCTTTGACTTCTTTTTTGCTCTTAATTTTTCTTCTAATTTTTCTTCCTTTGACTTTCTTTTGCTCTTATAATCTGCACTTAATTATTTTCGTTTTTAGTGTATGTTTTCAATGGTTTGACTCTATCTTCCATCAAAGTTACAATCTTTGGATAGAAGCCATGTCTTACATTTTTGCTTTTACTTAAATTCTAAGTCTGCTTCTACTTAAACTCTAAGCACAATTATAGGAAAGTGTAAAAATTTATTGAAGTTCTTTGTTGATGAATTGATAAACTCACAAATCACATCCCACTTACCCAGTAATAATAATTTCTGGATATGTTTGTGTTCCAAGGTTCCAAGCTCCTCCATTGATTGGCCACTCCTAAACAGATTGTTCAGGAAGAATTTATAAGTTTCTTTAAAAATTTGAATGACTTTGAAAATTCAGAAATTTAAAAAATATATTAAAAAATAGTAGCAAAAGGTTCACTTTAAATAAAAAGCTGTAAAGTAATAGATGAACTGTAGAACTATCTTAATTATTTCATTGAACAAACAATTCCAAATGCATAATGCCATCTCTTTTAAAAATACGGATTTTAACAAATATTACCAATCATATAAAAAAAGAAGTATTTTTAATCATACAAAAGCAGTGCAGCTACATTTGCCATATAGTCTACCATGTAACAGATTGTTATGTAAATTGTGTTCCCTGGACTTGTCCATCCCAAAAGCCCTGTGTAAATAATAGAAATCATAACAGGGGTCTATTAAAATTCTAAGTATTTTAATTCTGTAGTTAAATATTTTATTTCATTTTATTATACTTAATAAATGACTTGATAATTGTCTTATTAATATATGCTAGTTCAAATATAAATATATAAATACATAGGATAGATAACTATGTTAGTATGTATTTATAATACAGTTGGCTCTTGAACAACTATAGGTCCACTTATATGCAGATTTTTTCAGCAGGCTCCCAGTCAACAATAACTATTATAGTTAAGCTTTGGGAGAGTCAAGTTATATGTGGGTTTTTGCCTGCATGGAGGGGTCAGTGCCCCTAACCACTGTGTTGTTCAAGGGTCAATTGATTATATTCCTGTGGGCTTAAAGCTGTGCAGCATTTAGGAACTTTGAATTTCAGAAGTTAGGTCTTTTATAGACACCAGCTATGATGTCAAAAGAATTTGAGTCACATTATATGATCATGTGATATGAATATAACAAAACTTATTTTTAATTGTTACTTTTACCTTATTACTGTATCCTTGCTTTTTTTGCTTGACTCCTGCAGAGTACAGTACTAGAATCAAATCTGGTGGGCAATCAGCAAAGTATGCTGTACACGTAACTGGAGATTCATGAATGTCCATGGGATATGGATTTTCAAAGATTGGAAAACTAATAGATAAAGACAAGATATTAGTGTCATTTTGCAATAATAAATGAAATAACTTATAAAACAAGCCCTAAAATCTTCTAAATAACTGTACATTTGACTTAACTGTTGTTTTTTAAGCATCACAATTCAACGATCATGTGAAAAAGAATACTCTTTCAAAAATATCTATAAAGTGTAATATGAATTATTGGTAGAATTTTACTTGAACAAATACATTTTCTTTCCTGTAATTCCAAAATTCCACAGTGACATAACTTTGCTAGTAGGGATAGAATGAATTGTGTTAAAATAAATATATATCAATTAGGTATTTTATGTAAAATTTTATCTTAATATTTATATAATATACTTACAAGTACAGTAAATTTGACATGTTTTTCCAAGGGACATAATATATAGGCATGTGGGGTTTTTTTTGCAGGGGTATTGAAAGATGTGTGTGCTGTGCATGATTGTACATAAAATGTTTAAGATAATTTCCTATGTAAACACAGTAGGAATGCAGACTTACAGATTAAGTAAATTTCATATCCTCAAGCTTGCTATAATTCTAAAAATGGGTAGCAGTACCAAATAAAGAATTCTTACAGACATCATATATTGTGCACTTCTTATATACCAGATGTTCTAAGCACTGTAGTAGAGGGAATTGACTACTGTTCTATGCTGCATCTTCTAGGACTGTGTGATCATATTATTTCTGATACACTTTGTTTTTGTGGTGGGGGAAGGAGGCTATTACAAATAATTTTCTTCCAACATTACTAGGAACTCTCCACAGAGTACAGTGTGTGTGTGTGTGTTGGCAGGGTTTCTCTTCCCTCCAAATGCCACAGACGGTATCCCAAATAAAATAGTAGTATATGCAAAATCAGGTGGAAAGTAGTAAGTTGTGTTTACTAAATGGCAAGTAGGTTAAACTGAATAGATCAGATGTTCCCTGTTTCAGAGTAGAAATCATCAACACTTCTGAGATTGAAGAATTAGAAGTAAAATAAATGCATCACCTTAAAGACCAGATCTACAACTTGGAATTTAATAATAGCAAGAAATTACAATGGTAGACTCCTGACAAAATGAACAATATTCATGAAAATTTTGGAGGAAAGCTATTTTAGTATGTTGGCAAAGGGCAGGGAAAATATAATTATAAAATTCATAATAACTAAACACGTACTAAAAGAATTTAGACATAGAAGTATAAACTGGCTTCTGTGGAAACATAAAACAAAGATATAAAATCCAAGAAACAAAGAATAGAAAATTTTGTAATACTAAGGCTTGGTTTAATGTACAGAATCAAATGGATAAGAAGAAAGGAAGCAAAAAAACAATTTGAAAAGAGAACAAAGCTGTAATTTTAACATTACGCATGTCTTAAAAAGTAACTATTTGGAGGGAAAGAGAGTAGACAATGAAATAGGAATGTCACATAGATTTTAAAACATGGTGCTGAAGATGGTAAAATGTTTGTTAGATAAAAGCTTACAAACAAAAAATTTACTTACTCATATAAGGTCATGAAAAACATAAAAATAAATGTGTAAGAATGGTAACTTTCATGTGTATTTACCACACATAAAAAAGGTTTAAAATGTAAGAATAAATGTATATACTGAATAGAGTGAGTGGTGAACCTTGGAGAATGTTAGACACAATTAGACAAGGTACAGAGAATCAACAAATATGGAATAGAAGAGTTAAGTAGCAATGAGATCAGAACAACTTTCAATAAAACCATTCTCATATATATAGAACTAATATGCTAGAATGCATATTATGTTGTAATATAGAAAACTTAGAGGAAGATGCAGAAATCCATACATGTACACAAAATTTAATCAAGTTTAATATTATTAACAGAACAACTAGGCAGAGTTCAGTTATGATGATTTATGGCCCAAATCCTGTATCCCTCTCAAAATATTGAAATATTATATGCCATTAAATTAGCTTTATATAAAGAAGAATTTTTGTTCTTACATTTATAAACTACATGGAAAGTAGAAATTGGACTATAATTCATTCAACAGAAATTTATGGAGAATCTATTCCATGTGGAGACTCCTCCTTCATGATGCCTACAGTCTAGCAGGGAAACAATAAATGGAAAACCTCATCTCTGTAAAATCTATGAAAAGGAGAAACATGGGAGGTAAGAGATTCCTTAATAGGCTATTTGACCAAATTATACAGATAGTGAAATACTTTTTTTAATGAGGAAATGATATCTGAGTTGAGAATCTTATAGATGTTAGTAAGGAGAAAAAAGAAAGGAAGATCAGTGGGTCTAGAGCATAGAATGAGGGAAAATCAGTTTCATGCCTACCATTTACAGTGAAAATGTGTAATAGAAAGACAGTCTTCTTTAATTTCAAGTCTACTTTTATTGTCCATGTAAAGGAGTTGAGAGCACTATTCTAACAGCAATATTTTATATTTTTTTCCTTTTCCCACAACATAATGAAAAAGAAAGTGAAAGAAGGCCTCTCTCTTCTCTGTCCTTGAGATCTTGCTCTTCTGTATTGTCTGCCCACAGTAATGGAATAATACTTTTATTATGTGTTATTTTCCTTTATTCAAAAAAATAGCAGATGGCCAAATAGTACACTGTACAAGTTCTCAAAACAATTGCTTTTGCTTAGGGAAACAGCATAAATGTTATCCATCTTGTGTGTCCTGAGTCTCCAAATACATTTTTCCAAAGATGTTTCCTTTAAAATGTTCTAAAATTTCCTCAGTGTGCCACAGATACTTCTGGTTTAGTTTTCATTATTGAGCAAGTTACATTTCTATAATTCTAGCAAAACAATATTCCACACAAAGAATATTTTCCATCTAAAGAATACTAAAACCAGTTATTTATAATGTCCTCCTGTATTTTAATTGTAATGAATAGAATTTTTAAAAGTATTAATTTGTGTATGGATAACTTACTTGTTTTGTGTCAGATCAACTACAATAAGATCTTTCTCCAGAAGTACTGCAACAGCATAGGGTTCTTGAAATTCTACAAGAAAGAAATAAAAAAATGGAAAAGTTTTCATATTTCATAATTTATAAAATCACCAAACTTGCATTTCCTTTATCTCCCTACAAATGTTACTTAAATGATTTGAGAAGACCAAAGTATGAGCCAAAGTAAGAAGTAACAAAGAGCACTTTAAAAAAACTATTTTTCAACCTTAGTGTTTAATACCATTGCTGGGAACAAGGAAAAATATGTGAAATTACATAATATAGAGTTAAATATATCTCACTAATCATGAGGTGGTGATAGTAGATTATTTGAAGAGAGTGAGTATATCACCTCCATCTCATAAACATTTATCTTATTATTTCATATCCTTCCATTTTGATCTTATTTCATGCCTACAAAGAGATTTACTAAGGAAATAATAGTTCTGCCTCTCTGGGCTATGATAGATATTCACCTTTGTACTAGAACAACACTTCTCATACTAAAAATTTACGTTCAATTCAATGTGATTCAACATGTAAGTAAAGATTGCCTTCTATGGTACTTAAGAGAATATACTTCAAAAAGCAGAAAGTCCAAGAATAATCTAGGATTTTCAAGTTCTTAAAGTTTAACCCTCCCTTCTGTCCTCTCTCCTCCTTCAATATGTTCCAGATACTGTTCCAAGAACGAAGGATATATGGAGAATAAGACTGACAAGGTCCTTGTTCTGATGGAGTTTACATCCTAGGGATGTATATAAAACAAATGACAAATCTAGGGATGTATATGAGCAAATAAACAAATAATAATAATTCAGAAAGTAATGTGAACTATGAAAAAATATCAAGGATAATGATATAAGAAATAGCTTGTGGTTGGTGGGGGAGCATTAATTTAGTTACAGCAGTCAGGGAAGACATTGTTTTCCATCTATAATAAAGGACTAATAAAGGAAAGCCACACTTAAAGTGTTATTCTTAATGTAAGGTAAAAGTGTTTATGAGAACATTTTATATACATGATATTTTATTCTCAGTAGCTATTACTATTACTGTTTTTCTATTTATGAATAACTAGCTATTACTATTACTAAGGTATTACTGTTTTTCCATTTCATAGAGAAAACTGAGGTACAAAGAGGTTACAAGACTGGCATGAGATTACAAAGCTACTAACTGATAGAATTTTTAACAGAAATTTTGTTCAGTATTCAAGTCTCAGATAGGAAACTGGAAAAGATGGCCTTCACAGTCCTTCCAGTCCTCAGAAGCTATAGAACCTATTCACATTTATGTTTATAAGTCACATGCTATGAGAGAAAAATTAGGAACAAAAAAAAACAGAAGGAGCATGCCTTTGTTTGGGTGCATATCTATGTGACAATGTGCAGTCCTCACACCGTTTGCTCCTTAAACTGTTCTCAAAACAGAGATTTCCCCCTACTTCTCCCTATCACCTAGAGCTGCTTTAAGTTTTTCAACATGGTTTTACTACTTCTGGGTTTGGGGTGTTTTTTTGTTTATTTGTTTGTTTGTTTGTTTGTTTTGCTTTGCTTTTCAAAAAAGTTTGAAGAACATTGGGACTCTACATTTGTTGAGAAGAATTGCTTTAAAAAAAATAGTTGAGACATTGGCATGAATGAGCAAAATTAATAAATTATCATTTTAGGTAGTGACATCTGCTTTAGGTTATTGTTTCTTTTCAAATAAAAAAACTGGTAGCAAAAGTTTCATCTTTGTAGAAGTACTTAGTGTACTGTGGTAATTACTAAAAAAAGATTTTCTTAGGAGTTCATTTTAGATTCAACTCTGTGTCTATTATTTATTAAAAGTTTGACTTTGGTAAAATCAGTTAATTTCTTTAACCTTGGATTTCTTTACCCACTTACATGGCAAAATAAATAACTACCTTAGACTGTTACGAAGGTTAGATGTATATGAAGATGTTTAATGCAAAACCTGGCACATAGTAGGTATTCAACAGATGCCAATTGTATTACTTTGACATACAAGTACAATCTAAAAAATGCAACCTTTATTAGATTGACTGGTTTATTTTTGAGCAGGCAGTCTTTTAACCCTAGCCCCCAACACGATGAAAAGTTCTATCATAATTACTACTTCTGTGAACAGAAATGGCTTATTTACGATATTTGTAGAGAACCAAATACAGTCAAGTCTAGATGTGACACTGATAAACTTTAAGTATAGTTGGCCAGTTACTCTGGGCAATGCCCCCTAAGATAAGAGGCATTTGTGTTCTTTGGCAAACAAATTAAATAGTCAGATGTCATTAGCAATATTAAAAATTTTTAATAAATTAATTTTGTTTAACATATGCATAATATCACTATGTAGCTGTAAAGAAAATTGAAGTTCCATATTTACTAATAAAGAATTGTAATTGAAATATTTTAAGTGAAAAAAGTATGATACAGAACAGCACGCAGATTATGCTGTCATTTGTACAAAAACAGAATATACATACATGAATATGTGCCATATGTATAGACTTTCTGGAAGAATACATAAGAAACTTAGTAGTTGCCTCTCAAAGGGCAGTGAGAGAGTTTGCATTGTATACTGTTGTGTATTGTAGGGTTTATTTCTGGCATTTTCATGCATTATTGTTTAATTAGAAACAGTTAATACATTTGTATTTTACTGATAAACTATTTATCTTAGTCCCTGAGAGATAAAAAGTTCCATTCTCATTACCACTTCTCTGAAAAGTGAAGACTTATTACGTGTCTTGGAAGTGATTAGACTTGGTCACAGTATACTTATAATTTAACATTATTAGAAATTGTCCTAAAATCTCTACCAATGTGCAGAAATTTGTATGCAAACACATATATTTCCATTTCTATTACTAGCATGCACATTTTCTTTCTCTGTGGTCTTTACAGGCTTCTTTCTCTAATGTGCTAAGTTCAGCTTTGGTACTCTGTTTTTTCATCCTTTGTTCCTTTTTCATTCATTCTCATAGCTCCAAAGAACATCAATATTATGATGATTCATAAATAAATATTAAAGACCTTTTCCTTCTTTTTCTGCCAAATAACTCTACTGGCTCATAATGAGACTTACTTTTCCTCTCTCTCCAAGAATTGTTATTGCTGCATATGAAACCACTAATTTTAAAATTTGTTATCTTTGACTCATCTACAACATCATTCCTTAATTCAATTGTTGACCAAATTCAGCGGGTTTTCCTCTTTCCATTCCTACAGGCAGTACTCTGTTTCAGATCTTGACCATTTTAATGTACATAATCACAAAAGCTTCCCATCTACAACGTGGAATTTTATTAGATTTCAGTGTCCCCTCAAAGCCATGCACTCTTATTGGACAAACCTTACTAAAAACATTGCTTTCTTTCATCTTGGTATTTCCTCAAAATTCCTTTGTAGCTCTCTATTTCCAAATACCTATAGAAGACTTGCAATTTTTCTCTAAATTGATTTCACTCTAGCAAACCTCTCAAGTTCAAAACCTTTTAGTCAATATCCTTTTCAAAGCACAAGTCATTCTTCAAGGCCTATTTAATCCTACTTTTTCCATGAAGTTTTGCATGAATAGTTTAGTCATCACCTATCTGACTAGCCTATAAATTAGAACATTATTTAAATTCTGACCCATATAACTCATACTTAATTAAGCTGTATTTGTAAGCTTAAGTCATAATTATTTCCTTCATCTGACCAGATTTTGTGTGCTTTGACATCAGAGATCAATTTCATATTTCCTCTGTATTCTCAACGAGTCCTTATTGTACTGAGGCCATAAAAGCATACAATAAATATTTTTTAATTAACACAGACAATTTGTCCATAGCAACCTTGGAAATAAAATGCGACATTGATTGTTATTTCATATCAATTTATCCCATCATTTAAATATGAAACTAAAGACTTTAAAGCAATTAATACATTTGTAATAAAACACAATTCATGTATCTTCATAGTTTACAAAGTTTGTTCACTTTGGCCTTCCAATAATGTAGAGTCAATATTATTATTGACTTTTTAATATTATTGACTCCATATAACTCTGATGTGGAGTCATGGTTATTACTCTCTTTCTACAAATGATAATTCAAACTCATAAATGTAAAGTGATATACTGAAGGTCACATAGCTAATAAATGTCAGAGCTAAATCATAAACTCAAATATGTGTCTCCAAGTCCAGTGTTCTTTCCCACATATGTTCCCTCTTGAAACTGTAGTAACATATATACATACTATGTTGTTAAAATCATACACTCATATTTCACTTTTTGTTTTACCCTTCTCAATTTTTAATTTCATTATTAAAAAGAAGTTTTGCATGAATAGTTTAGTCATCACCTATCTGACTAGCCTATAAATTAGAACATTATTTAAATTCTGACCCATATAACTCATACTTAATTAAGCTGTATTTGTAAGCTTAAGTCATAATTATTTCCTTCATCTGACCAGATTTTGTGTGCTTTGACATCAGAGATCAATTTCATATTTCCTCTGTATTCTCAACGAGTCCTTATTGTACTGAGGCCATAAAAGCATACAATAAATATTTTTTAATTAACACAGACAATTTGTCCATAGCAACCTTGGAAATAAAATGCGACATTGATTGTTATTTCATATCAATTTATCCCATCATTTAAATATGAAACTAAAGACTTTAAAGCAATTAATACATTTGTAATAAAACACAATTCATGTATCTTCATAGTTTACAAAGTTTGTTCACTTTGGCCTTCCAATAATGTAGAGTCAATATTATTATTGACTTTTTAATATTATTGACTCCATATAACTCTGATGTGGAGTCATGGTTATTACTCTCTTTCTACAAATGATAATTCAAACTCATAAATGTAAAGTGATATACTGAAGGTCACATAGCTAATAAATGTCAGAGCTAAATCATAAACTCAAATATGTGTCTCCAAGTCCAGTGTTCTTTCCCACATATGTTCCCTCTTGAAACTGTAGTAACATATATACATACTATGTTGTTAAAATCATACACTCATATTTCACTTTTTGTTTTACCCTTCTCAATTTTTAATTTCATTATTAAAATATTTCATCATTATTAGATTCAATTATACAGTTTGCATATAAGTTTAGACCAGTTTTTATGTTTATAGAAGTCAGTTTTTTTATTTAGTGATGAAAAAAATAAGCATGTTTCCTCCCAAAGGCCCTTCTGATTATTTTTCTCAAAACTGAAATAAATCACTAACCACACATCAGCAATCCTAGAGTAATCTGAGGTGTGGCAGTTGCATCTGAAGCAAAGCCAGATGTGAAACATGCACTGCCAACAAAGTTACAGATCACTGACATCAGGTAGGTCCTTTAACTTTGATTGTTTTTGGAATGGATGGGTGGAGCTGGTCTAGGAGAGGCTATCAGCAGATCTCAGTTTCCCCAAGTGATTTCATCCTGGACCCCTATTGGACCCTCCCAGCTCAGCTTCCACCATCCTATCAAAGTTTAAAGCACTTACATGAAATTAGAACCTGAAACTCCAGCACTGTTGCACTACATCTGTCTTACTTCCAGTTTGTCAAGTAGGTACAGTTGCAGAACCTGTTCCAAAACCGGTAGCTCATACTGTTGCACAACAGTAGATGTTAGCTGTCAAAACTAATAATATTTAAGCTTAATTTTGTTAGGAACTTAATTCAAAAATGATTTTTCAACATTAATAATTTCACTTAAGTACTTACCATTTGGATAGGGTGTTTCACATAAAGTGAGAAATTCAACAATAGGATGATCCATTTCAAGCACTGTAATTGCTTTTCCATGCATGATGGTTAAACTAGGTCTTCTACAAGCTTTGTCATAGGACAGTCCACCAGAAAATACTATGAATGGTTCACTACATAGGAAAAAAAATGAATGAGCCTGAGAGTCCTTTAAGATAACACAATGTCATAGGACTGAGTCAATAAAAAGCATATTTGGTGGAGATTATATACAGTGTAATTTGACAGGAAGCAAAAGTCTGTCCTGGCCCAAAATATCTCACCTAATAATTTACTATTTTACTATTTCCATTTTTCTGGATGTACATTCTCATCATTAAAATTACTAATGAATCAGTCTAAAGGTGTCGCAGTAGGGGGAAAGGTCATGAGGTCAAAGGGAGATCACTCAAAGGATATCTTCACATATATTACTTGGTTACCAAACTGTAAATCACTGCCATTAGACTATTAGGCTATATTATTTTTACCATATGAACCAGTTGGCATGTGTAGGCCAAACTCCCTAAGAGATAAAAGAGGCAAATTTCAATATGAAGTGAAATGTAACAGTAGCAGGCCTACAATGGTAGAATGTAACAGGAAAATTCTATATAATGGAGTTTCTGCTGAAAAAGTGTGATTATAAAAAGCTGGAGAAAACTAATATGTAAGGGAAAATAAATGTGATCTCAATTTTACCTTGAGACTGCCAGTTTTATTTAGCTTATAAAGTTAACTTCACACATTTTTTTCACGTCTCATTAGTTGCAAGACACAATCAGTTTGTATGTATAGTATCAAACATTACCAGTGGAACATTTGCTAATCTTATGGTGGTCATCAAGGAACAACAAAAAAGTTTTATAAAAGTTTCCAATTTTAACTTACATACCTCAACACCCAAAAAGCAAATAACCCTATTAAAAAATGGGTGGAGGATCTGAACAGACACTTCTCCAAAGAAGAAATTCAGATGGCCAACAGGCTCATGAAAAGATGCTCCACATCAATAATTATCACAGAAATGCAAATTAAAACCACAATGAGATACAACCTCACACCAGTTAGGATGGCCAATATAGAAAAGACTAGGAACAACAAATGCTGGTGAGGATGCAGAGAAAGGGGAACCCTCCTACACTGCAGGTAGGAATGTAAAATAGTTCAACCATTGTGGAAAGTAGTATGGAGGTTTCTCAAAAAACTAAAAATAGAAATACCATTTGACCCAGGAGTTCCACTCCTAGGAATTTACCCTAAGAATGTGGCAGCCCAGTTTGAAAAAGACATATGAACCCCTATGTTTATTGCAGCACTATTTACAATAGCCAAGAAATGGAAGGAACTTAAGTGTCCATCAGTAGATGAATGGATAAAGAAGATGTGGTACATATACACAATGGAATATTATTTAGCCATAAGAAGAAAACAACAACTACCATTTGCAACAACATGGATGGAGCTAGAGGGTATTACGCTCAGTAAAATAAGCCAGTCAGAGAAAGACAAGTACCAGATGATTTCACTCCTCTGTGGAGCATAAGAACAAAGCAAAAACTGAAGGAACAAAATAGCAGCAGACTCACAGAACCCAAGAATGAACTAACAGTTGCCAAAGAGAAAAGGACTGGGGAGGGTGAGTGAGAAGGGAGGTAGAAGGGGAATAAGGGGCATTACGATTAGCACACATAACATAGAGGCATTGCATGGGGAAGGCAGTATAGCACAGAGAAGACAAGTAGTGACTCTATAGCATCTTACTGCACTGATGGACAGTGACTGTAATGGGGTATGTGGTGGGGACTTGATAATGGGGGGAATCTAGTAACCACAGTATTGCTCATGTGATTGTATATTAATGATACCAAAATAAAAGAAAAAAGTTTCCATCAAAATCTGCATATAAAATGTCTACGCTAATTACTTATTGTTTTGTCTTAATATTTTAACATAAATAGTTGAGTTGAAAGCTAACGAATGAAACATGCTGTAGTTTATTTTTCTTGTGTCCTGCATCAGTTGACGTGAGTTATTCTTACCCCAGTAATTAGATCCAGTAATTGGATGTAGTAAATAACTAACCCACTAATGGTAATATTAAGAAGCAAATTTATTTTTTCTGTAAAATATATTAATATATATATAATTATTAAGAAGATTTCTCCAGATTTAAAAATCACTTCTAATGAAATGAGAGTATGGGTTTTTGCATGTTTGCTGACTTGTGTTGCCACAAAAGTCATGCCTTGGAGAAGATAGTATAATTTCATACATGTTAAGCTTAACTATATGTTCCAAGTACTATTAAAGGCAACATATACTTTTTTTTCCATGTAAAAATAGATGAATTTACTCTCATCTTCTAGTACTAATCCAAACATAGAATAAGAAGAAATTTACTTTCTTGTAAGCAAATTGAAAACATCTCCCTCCTAATATTGGGAGGAAGCAAAACCTTTCCTGCTTTTATTATGACTCTGTATCAGAAAACATTGGATCTGAAGTTAATTGTTGACATAGATGGACTTCTCTGCACACTACTGAATGACTGAATAAGAAGTTGTTTATGCAGAAAAATGTTCAGGGAACCACTCATAGATAATTGCATTAGACAGTTAATTACCACATTAAATCCCCATAAGTATTGTCCTAATTTTATTAATAAAGTTAAATAACAACTAAGCAGACAAACCCAAAAGAAAACTGAAATATCAGACTTCAAAGCCTATTCTCCTAAACAGTGGTCTATACTGCCTGTAGTATATGAGAAGTCTGAGATTAACACAGGTTAAATAATCTGTTCAGGGTCAAGGAGATAGGATATAGCAGACTCCAAAGTCCATGCTTTTTTATTTCTAGTCTAATGTTTCCTAAACTGTGGGACACAACTTAATAGGTGTTCTACAAAAATACAGGTTTAAAAAGAAATTTGTAAGTTGACAAATACTTGAAAGCCATATCTCCTTTTTGAAATTTTATAATTCATGACCTATACTAAAGATTCTGAGAATCTTTACAGTAAAGAAAACAATTTAATATAACCCAGAATTTCTCAAGTTTATTTGATTACAGATTCCTTTTTTTCTAGGAATGCAGTCAGTAAGATACCACAGTTATATAGTTACCGTAATTTGGTAAATGCTATACTACACTAAACTGCCTCTTTTAGTACTAAATACATTGTATCTTGTGATACTTATCAGATGGATTATTATAAAATAAATAAGTTATTGACAATGTCTTCATACATAAAACAATAATATAGAAATTGTTGATAACAACTTGGGTAAATCTCAAAGGCATTATGTTGAGTGAAAGAACATATGCTCAAAGGTTACATTAATATATAACTGTATTTATATGACTTTTCAAAGTGGCAAAACTACAGTGATGGAGAACAGATCAATGGTTGCCAGGGGTTAGGAGTGAGAAAAAGTATGATTATAAAGGATGGAATGAGAGAACTGGGGGTGGTGGTTTGGAAATGTTCTGTATTCTCAATGTGCTGGTGATTTCAGGAATTGATACATGTGTTAAAATTTGTAGAACTGTACATAAAAAAAGTGTTTTACTGTATAATTTGTAAGACAGATATAATCAAAAAGCATTCATTTTTTTCTCAATGGAGGCAACACAATTAAATAATAAACTATGTAACATAATATAATACATATTAAAATCACATTTCTTGAGTATTAATGATGTTCCAGGTATTGTGTAAAAAACTTGACATGCATTATTGTATTTAATCCTTGTGATATCCCTATGGGAGTACTACTATTATTATTCTCACCTAACAGATGGTATAGAGAGGTTTGAAGAATCTAACTACACATGAAGTCTACCAGCAGGTGGCCATGATAGGAATTAATGTACTTGCAGAAAATTGCAACAGAGAAACTGATAGTGCTAGTGGTAGCACATAGACAGACCATTATTCCTTTTTTTGAAGAAGATAAAATTATTAAGCCTACAGGTCATTGTGATGAGAGTTCCAGTAAGCAAACTGGTGATGCGGAACCAATGATTCCTTAACAGAAAGGTTGTTCATCCCTATAAATGTAAAACAAGTATATGGACGGCTGGTCTCAGATAAAATTAAGCAGAAAACATACTCCTTACATTTGCTACCTGTGTACTCCTTTTAGAGGCCCTATTGTTTCAGAATATATGGTAGAGCTCTTCTTAAAGTTCCTATTCCTGCTACAGTAATTCTAATTGTTAACTTCACAGTTTCTACTGTGTAAATGATGGAGCAAAATATCACTATTTACCTCTACTTCCAGACTATGGCTCATTTTGCTGGACTAATACCTTTTCAGCACTCTTAACTTCAGTACTTCTCTGATTTTTAGTCTCCTTGTATTCTGAGCTGTGGAACCACTGCATGCAGATGTGACATTTTAAATATAGCAATAATCACAAATACAGACAGAAGTTACTAAAATGCACAGGAAGAGGGATGATAATAATTATGATCAATAATACATATAATTATTTCATATCAAAAATCAAAAGAATTCTATACAAGTTGGATTACCAATTACTAGAACAAATAATTAATTTAGGATTGGTTGAGTGATTTTAACAATAAGAAATATAGCTCTTATTACCACAATAACCTTTTATTAAAAAATCTGTGTGCCACTCATCAAATTACTACATTACAAACTTTATGTATGATTTCACTTAATCCTCATGAACATCACAGAGAGGTATTGTTGAGTGAAATCATTTGATACTTGCCTTTTTCCACCTGGCTTATTTTACTGAGTATAATACCCTCCAGCTCCATCCATGTTGTTGCAAATGGTTGAATTTGTTTTCTTCTTATGCTGAATAAGAATAATACTCCATTGTGTATATGTACCACATCTTCATTATCCATTCATCTACTGATGGACAGTTAGGTTGCTTGCATATCTTGGCTATTGTAAATAGCGCTGCAATAAACATAGGGGTGTATATGTCTTTTGGAATAAAGGATGTTGTTTTCTTCCTGGGTCAAACACTATTTCTATTCTTAGTTTTTTTGAGGGACCTCCATACTGCTTCCCACAATGGTTGAACTAATTTACATTCCCACCAACAATGTAGGAGGGTTCTCCTTTCTCCACATCATACCTAGCAT